CCACACTTTTCGTATTTCGCTAGTCAACCATATGGAACAGGCTGTCAGTGTACCTCCGTTGCAGTGAAACTACGACCCTTTAAGATTTTCTTTCCGAAAGTGAATTGTATCACCTATTGAATATCAATTTGTTTAATAATTATTTATACACACAAGGTCCGTTATCTGACGGAAAAGTAAAGTAGAACCTTTCAAATTTTTCTCGTTTATCTTATATTCTATCAGTCAGTCTTAGTATATTAAGTTCACTTATGTCCATATTTGTGTTCTCTATTTTTATTGTTAATCCCTCGACACATTATACAAAATTTCTGTTCCCTCCCTCCTAAACATAGGATACTCTTAAACATCGAAAGTCCATAACTAAAATAAATTACCTTATGTCACTATCAAATAAAGTTATTTCTCAGAATCATTTTATCTTCACTGTACATACATAACACGTAGAAACTTATATTTGCTTATCTTCAGCAATTACTTATGATATTTAATATATCATTCTGAATTATTATTACACACGAGTGTATGCTGATATCAGGTTTTACTCGGTGTCATATTACATAGATTTACGTGTATTTACCCAAACGGATTAAAAATTTGTTTTGTAAACTAAGGGTTTACTTCAGAGTTCGATATTATCGTGCTTGAACAGTTTCACTAGGTGTTCACACTATTAAAAACTTTTATCGCTCTTCATCATAAATTAACATTATTATTCTTAAGTATCCTAAGTTTGTAGTTAAGACAATATCTTGTGTTATACTCAAGTTCATTACTCTGACTCGTTTTATTTTCACCATTTATATGTTGGTATTTGTTTATCATTTGCACCTAATTCAGTCTTTCATACCATCGCTCAAAACCATTGCCGTATAAACACTTATTCTACGACCACGTCGTACTGCAGTAATAAGTTACTTTCTTATTTATTTTTAATCTTTTTCTGTTTTTTCTTTTTGTTATTCCTTTGATGATATGTATATGGTTGTTTATTCTTATTCTGTGTTCATAAACATGTTTATTAAACTTTTTGCGTATTTCACATTTCTCTCACTTCCATTCCCTTATTTTCTCCCTTTCCTTCCTCGAAAGCAACTCAATATTCTTCCCAATTGCACAAAACCTGATCTTGTATTAGTCTATTGTCATTATTATTTTTTCTTTTCACTATTCTTTTTTTTCAAATATGGCAAATGCTAAGCAAACATTATTGGAACTTGAGTATTATTGCATTTTTAAAGAACCCGAAACTGTTTATTCACATCACTTGTGTACCTATAAGATTTTTGTGAATAATGATAATTCCTCTTTTACTTTATGTAATCATTTTGGCTGTGCAAATTTAAGTCTATCAGAACTTAAAAAAATGATTGCACTGGGACAAAAAATATAGAAACAATTTGAGAAAACGAGTGGTATTTTCAAAATTGTTTTCTTGTAAGTCATTTCTATATAATCCCAAGTTAGTCATACGAAACATGTGTATGGGGTGGTGGCACATATGTATCTGGTGCCCTTTTGTACCAATATATATGTGTTTAAATAAATAATAAATAAATGGGTAGTGGGATATCACTAGGCTCTGGCGGAATGCTCCAGGAGTCCAGTCATTGGATATCAAACAGCTCCCCAATCCTCGTCAAGATCAAGGACAACGTTAGTTACACACTATGGACTGGCCCATGTGATGGTCGTCACACTCTGTTTCTTGTAACTGATCTAAGTAATATATTTTCTGCCTTTTTCAATTGGAATCCGTCTGTGGAAAATTTAAAATTCAGTCCCTCTTAAAGTTTTCATATGCTGGTGACAATCTTCCGAGCTACTCTATAGTGTCAAGGAAAATTCCATAGGGTTTTCCTATCCACGTTGTCGAATGTTTCCTCATAATCAAAGGACCTGGCGTATAGCAATGAGTTTCATTCGATTGGTTGATCCACAGTGTCTCGGTTTGGTCCTGATGCTGGGCGCCTCTCTTTCATTCGGTTTAGCAACACTTGTAAACGTTTCCTGACACTGACAGTACTGTGATTCTTCCGTAGTTCTTACACTTATTAAAATCTCTCTCCTTCAATATCTTGACGAGGCATTTCTCTTTCTAGTCTGTTGATTCTTGCTCGTCCTTCCAAATTTCTACCAAAGAACATGGAGCATCTTTGCAGTTACTCTTACATCTGACTTCCATATCTCGGCTGGTATACTATCTAGTCCTGTTGGTTTGCCACTTAATTTGTCTGATTTCTTCGGCTATTGTTGTTGTAACATTTGTATAAAGGTCGCTGTGTGTGGTATCGATGTGTGATGGGCCCAGTGAGGCTGGTCTATTCAAGAGCCCTCCAAAGTGTTCCACCCACCTGTTTCGTTGATCTTGACCTCCAGGGATTTATCTACCTTCGTTCTTGACTGGTTAGTCTGGTCTACCATATTTTCATGCTAGTTTCTTATTTGTATCATATAATTTTCTCATATTTCCTTCAATTGCAGCTTCTGCTGTCATTGCTAGGTCTTCCACATACTTCTGCTTATCACATCTAATGCTTCTTCTTCACTCGTTTGTCATCTGTGTTATCTCTGTCTTGTTTAGTTGTTGTTGTTTATTATTCTCTCATCAGAGGTCCATCCTATTTTACGGTGATTTGTCGTGGTATGAATTCCTAACTACACGATCTTTGATACTGAACATATTTTTACTGAGAATTTTACCTTCAAAACTTAACAATTATGGAATTTCAAAACACAGTGAACGCGGGAACACGGAGTCGAAATGGCACTACTCAGCTATAGAGGCGTGGTCACTTTACGTCACTCATTCCTTTTACATAATGTATATATTATTCTATCCCCAGTTAAACATGTTTTTCATAAGTGCTAGTCACAATATTGTCGGTGGTCACTATAGGACGAGTAAGTACGGACAATGATGTAGCTTCCAGGTAAGATCTCAAAGACTAGGTGTTCACGTCATCCTGAGGCTCGGAATTAGGCCTAGTATCCTAGTAACTATGATATGCGTAATTCTATCGAACTGGGCTATAATTCTACACTTCTTAAAACTCGAAACGTACTGGCATGCTGAGGCTAGTTCCCCCTCGATCTATTATTATCTTCTTTCCATAGTGTTCCACCTTCTCCTAATATATGTTGTTAGTGATTGAACCTGTTCAGGAGAGCTCTTTTTAAACATCGCCGAACAGCATCAATGTAACCCCTTGTGAGTTCGTGGGCCATTTTAATCGTCGTAGCCAGAACATGACAGAACATCTTACGGAGTTAGCTTTTTCTGTTCAACCTGTGTCCAGTGGGTTTCACTAACTTCGACCAGAGCAAATTCACATCATCTCATTTCTTTAGCTATTTCAATGTTCTGTTAAATCACTGTCTAGTTCGATGTTAATGCTACTTCAACGACGGATTTAATCCCGAAATGGCAGACTTGTCATGATGTGACTACTCAATCCATAAGACCTTACATAGAAATCTCGTAATTTTTTATACTGACTTGTTTTTCCATGACAATCAGCAATATAATATTCTGCATTTGTGAAGAACGCATTTGAGCTGCGAATGAAATGATATATTTAGTGTGGAAAGGTATGGGTTACACAAGAATGACCACACCAGCAAGGCTGAGCCACACTATGACGATTAATTGTTTCTGCTTTCATTATTGCTGGCCTCTTCTCCATGTTAGATTCTGAATAATCACTTTTCAAGTTACCTCATGTTAAGGTTTGAGAATTGTGCAATTGGATCTGATAACACTAAAGGTCATCCTGGTCTCCGAATTGTTTGAACATTTCATGAACCTGTATTAATCGTTGCTTGAGTTTTCAGCAGGAGAATCGGCCTCGTCATTTCTCGAGAATCCCGGTTTTCATCAAAAGGCGTCACAATACTTCCATATGAAGAGCCCTCAACTCTCAGGATAGAGTTTGAATGGCTAAAGAGATTTTCCCGTTGACGATTTGGCGAGGTTGTTTTTTACAGGATAGGATTAATGACCACTTCTTCAACCATCACCCAGGATTGGGATCTATAGTGTCCTTAACATTCACTGCTTGCAATTAGGAAATTGTTGGAAAACATTAGTTCCGAAACCGAACTCTGTTACATAAGTGCCTACTCGGTATGATCTAATTTCTCATGCCGTGACCCACTTCCACATTGCAAAGGTTTGTCTATCAGAAGTGAATGCGAAGAATGTTGCTGCCTTACTTACATAATCGTTCATCATAGCTGGGCTGTGTGACAATTGCCTATACTTGCCAACGCGAACGTGAGGCACGGACTATTCAGTATTCATAAACCTATTCACAAAAATATCTTAACGCAAAGTTTTTGATTAGACACAAAGAAGATAGAACTATTGGGCGCAGCTGACAACCATACACGGCAGTTACAGGGCAAGTATTCATAACCCTGAATTACATCTGAGTTTGTCGTTGTCCGATGGATACTTCAATTTTCAACTGTTTGTGCTTGAGCGTAAAAGTAGTTTGGCTTGATCAGAAATTTCACAGGGACTGCAGAATACATCAAAAAATCTTTTGCTTCTTGCTTTAAAAAAATTAGAACACTTGAAACCATATATGTAGCAAACTATATAAACTTTCTTGTTTTGGAGTTACAAACCTATGTGGTTATTTGTTAGAAATCCGTATGTGAATCCCATGACTTACAAAGAGTTCCTTCCAACGCCAAATAAATAAAAACATCTCTGAGTTTGAATCAAGTTGACATCCTACGCTCTTGAAATCTAGTTTGGCCCTTCGTATTTTATGCCTTTCGAAGCATGTCGTTAGGCTTATCAGCAGTCAAAAAGCGGAAATACTATTTTTTCCGACTAAACTGAGATTTTACTGAAATATTCTGAATGACTTGACATTCCGTGGTTTTTATTGAATGGTTTTGGAATTTAACTTTATAAGATATGATAAACAGTTATCTAGAAGCTTGTTTAACCATTTCTTTAATTATATAAACTGACAGATATTGTACGTAATCTATTTGAGCGGGTTTACTGAACTCAGCGTTACATAACTGCTTGCTACGTTTGTACTTAATCGGTTTTAGGATTCTCTGTTTGGATCGGTAACTTGCCAGTATTTTTGTGGTTTACTGACCGAACTATTTACCTTTTTCTGCAAGTTATTTTATAATATTGTTTAGTGATTCGTAAATTCCTTACTGCAGGCAAATGTTCAAATACTATATTATTAAAATATTCCGACAATTAAATTTCAAAAGTATACTTTTAAAATTTAATTGTTTCATCTAAGTTGCTTGCCGATATGACTACTTTGTATACTTTCGCCGTCAAATACTAGTATAATAGACAAACTGTCGGGTTTGGAAGAAATTCTAGCTTATATAATACTATTCTTGTCTGGCACCTATCTCCTGATTTTGGTGAGGTTTGAATGGATTCTGAGATTTTCCTCAAAATTAATGAAATTTTGTAGTTTTCCCTGCGGTTTGGAGAAATATTTGAAAAGTCTAAAATTTCTCCATAATTTATGGGGATTTCCCCAGATTTATAGAAAATTTGTGGTTTTTGTGCCAAACAAAAGATATTTTCCTTAAAATAGGAAGATTTGGGCTTGACGCAGCCTTAAATCAGAAGTTCCGGGATCAACACATTAAAAGGTTATTCTCAATCTGTTAGAAAGCGTTGTAAGTAGTTTCGAAACTAATAATGTCGAAGTAAGCGTAGAGATATAATTCGAATGCATTCGATTTGGTTACTTACTAAAGCGCATATATTAATCACTAGAGTTTTGTGCGAACCATTTATATTTGAACTCAGTTTAGTAAAAATAAAAGTTCCAAAGTAAATGGGGTGGAAGTTTTGAATTGAAGTTGATTGCAGTAGGTAGTTGCCGTTTTGGCTAAACCTATTTGTTGCGTTTTGTTCCCGAAATGAACACCTAAGAGTCATTCATTTAACCATTAAAAACACTATTCCTTGGTTAATACGGCGGGTTTGATCGTATTTCGCAAAATTACCTAAATATTGTTTACAACAGATTTTGGCGAGACTGTAATTTATGGACGACCTTTGAAGAAATCTTATTTATTTATTTAAACACATATATATTGGTACAAAAGGGCACCAGGTACATATGCGCCACACAAAATAATGAAAGTAGGAAGAGAAGGGATGAAAAGATAACGCGGACTAAAATGTACAACCAGAAGACTCTTTCAGTTAAGAAAGTTAGAACCACTCTTTATGTAGAAAGTAAAAGAAGGTTGCAGCAGGATCACCACTGGCTTCTATTCTGAGCCATATCTGATAACACCCCCAGCCACTGTGTTGCACCATCTCTCGGACCCCAGCCAGGGAGTCGTGAAGGACCAACAGAAGCTAGCCCTTTTCTAGCTTTCTTTCATGCCACGACACCATGTCATACACTGACCTCCTCTCCGCTTTTTCCAATCAGTCCCAGGGTCGGCAAATAATGCACGACGTGGAATTCTCTGGGACGACATTCGTAAAACGTGTCCAAGCCACCGAAGTCGGTGTTTTAAGATGGTGACACCAATTGAATTATCGTCTCTGTGCCCGAACACACGATGCCGAACCTCTGCATTACTAACATGGTGTTGCCACTGGATGTTAGCAATCCTTCGGAGACAACGATGATCGAACGCAGAGAGTCGTCTAACATCCTCAACTCGGAGAGGCCAGGTTTCACAAGCATAGAGCAAAGCTGCTCTCACCGACGCGTTGTAGATCCAAGCTTTTACAGTCAGACTAACATCACGAAGGTGCGAAAGATGGCCCAGATTGGCATAAGCCGCTCTGGCTTTCCTTAAACGTGCATCAATCTCATCACTCACGCCACCACCAGCAATTATATAGCTACCTAGATACATGAACTTCTCAACTACTTCAATCTGCTCACCATCCTGCCAGTCTTGTAGGAGTACTTTGCACTTGGAGGGTGCAAAGCACATGCCGTACCTGCGGACACTGATTGCCAACTGATTAAGTGCGGATTGCAAGGTTCGAGCATTATCGCACAGTAAGACAATATCATCCGCATACTCAAGGTTGAGAAGTCGTTCTCCAGGCAACATATCCACACCGCCATTAATTACATCCATCAGAGCTGTTTCCAGGATGTCGTCGATAGCAAAGTTGAAGAGGAATGGTGAGATCGGGCAACCCTGCCTAACCCCACTGCTTGAATGGAACAAGGGAGAAAGGTGGTTGTATGCCCTCACTCTGCCTGAGGTGTTCGTATACAGGGCCTTTAAGATGTTAATAAACTTCTCAGGCACACCCTTCTTCAATAGACAATCCCAGAGAACAGTCCTGTCCAACGAATCGAAGGCCGCCCTGATATCAAGGAACACTATGATTGTTGGCCTGTGATAAGTATGACGGTGTTCTAACATTTGGCGGAGGGTGAAGATGTGATCAATGCATCCTCGTCCAGAACGAAAACCAGCCTGCTCCTCGCGAGTCAATCGTTCTCGGGTTTTAAACAACCTACGAAGAATGATAGAAGCCAATAGTTTGGACGCAATCGAAAGTAGACTTATCCCCCGATACTTATTGCAGGAACAACGTGAACCCTTTTTAAAGATAGGGACGACTATCGACTCATTCCATGGTGTTGGAACACTTTCTTGTTCCCAAACCTTTCCAAACAACACAGTCAATTCTTTAGTCAGAAGGTCACCACCATCTTTAAAAAGAGCCGGAGGTAAGTCATCTGGGCCAGGTGATTTGTAGCGCTTTAAGAGTTGGAGTTCCTTGTGGACTTCCGCCTCGTTTGGTGGATCAGTCGTCACCGGTCATGGGGGGCAGGACAATCTGGTTGATGTTGCCGGAGCAGCAGGCCAGTTGAACTGCCCTTCGAGAAATTCCGTCCAAGACGTCGAGAGATGTTAGTGATTGGCATCCCATCATCCTCGTAGATTGTTTCACTCACACCAGACTTCTTGCTGCCAGTGGCTCGGGTGAGTTGGAAGAGCTTCCGGCAGTTACCAGATGCAGCTGCTGCTTCCATCTCATTAGCACGCTCCGACCACCAGGCTTCCCGGTCCTTGCGCAGGCTTTGCCCGATTTCATTACGTAACAGCCTTCGTTTGTGGTCAAACTCACGGTCACCCGGAGTAGACCGACGGGCTCCCATCAGTTGTAAGGAGCCAGAAGTAACCCAGTGCTTGTAAGCGGGACGTTTCGCGAAGCCGCAAGCGGCTTTACTCGCCATTTTCATGGCGTCGCGAAGAAGCAACCAATGCTCATCTATACTTTTCGGTGGGGTGGTAGCTAGCCTAGAGGCTAGCTCAGCTCGATACTTACTTGCAACAGAAGTTGCAGCCAGTTTACTAATATCAATCCTTTGGTGGTGGTCAATCCTTCGGCCACTGAAAAGTAAGGTGAGATTGGCGCAGACCAGGGCATGATCAGACTCCAGATAGGTACTCCAAAAGGAGCGGCAGTCTTGTACACAACCACGCCAGCGGTAGCTGATCGCGACGTGATCAATCTGAGTCCAGGCTTGGGATGCAGAGGGAGGACGCCAGGTGGCACACCGGCGATGACTGTGCCGGAAGTTAGTGCTAGCCAGAAACAGGTTGTGGTCTGTGCACAGTTGCAGCAAACGGTCCCCGTTATCTGTCCTGCGATCAACAAGTCCCCATCGGCCACCTAAACGACTCTCTTCTGAGCCTAGCCGCTCGACCTGAGCATTCAAGTCTCCAGCTAATACTACAATATCTGTCGAACGCGCTTTCTGGAGAAGAACTGTTAACTGATGGTAAAACATCCTCGATTGTATCCGGTCTGCAATCTGTCGGGGCATAGGCGGAGATGACGAAAAGACACCGTTTCTCACGCCGATTTCTTCTCACTTTGATGGAACTTTTTAATCTAACAGCACATAACCGACTGTTAATGGGGATCCAATCGATTAGTGCTGCCTCAGCCCTAGCGCTTAGTGCGACACCAACGCCAAAAAGACCAGACGAAGATGCCATAGGGTCCCCGGATAAGCGCATGTGGAACAAGCTTTTCGAGGCGACAGATGGAGAGCGGATTTGTAGTACTTCACTAGAGTCTTGAATACGGGTCTCGGATAGACAACAAACATCAACATTAAGACCTTCCAAAGACATAGTCAGCCCTAACTGTTGTCTGATATGCATTAGTGTGCGAACGTTGAAGGAAGCCAGCTTGAACGGCGTACGTGGTTTCAGAAAGACTGCTTCAGTATTCATAATCGGTGGAAGCATTCACTTTCAACCAGACAGTAACTGGAGATCGTTTAGATAGGACAGATTTTCCATCATGGGCGAGCTGCTGCATAAGTTGAAAAGTAAGGTTACACAAATTGGGGATAAAAGGGGGTGAATTAGCGATATGGTAAGTAATAATAATAATAATAATAATAATAATAATAATAATAATAATAATAATAATAATAATAATAATAATAATAATAATAATAATAATGTAAATTGTCTTGCTTCTAGTATGAACAGGAATAGTATCGTCAATAGAATTCATCATTTCATTTATTTGTGTGTGGGCTGTGAAACTGCTCGGGTGCCCAAACCGAAGCAGGTGGTTTTCTTAGGGGGCCACACCCCGATCCTTTGACCAAAAGGTCTGATCCACAAGGCAGTGGAGTATCGTGAGGAGATGCAGTCCCATGGTAGCCGTTGACCAATGACAGGTTCGTCCGCCATTCGTTCCATCAGGATACTGGAGCCCATGTGCACCATTGGTTTGGAATCAGGGTTTTCCAACTCCCCTAGGTGGACCCTCCGTGTCCACCAACCCGGTTAAAGCGCCGGACATTCGCTTTTCCTTCTCTCACTTTCGTAAACAACACCCCCGCCTCGAGAAGGCAGTGAGTAGTGTTATGACGTATGAAATCGTAAGAAATATGGACGTGCAATTGGAGAGGAATGAATTTATTGATCGGCCGCAAATGATGATTGAAATTGTACGAGCAGTCTTGATTGCGTATCGGCCCTGCTATCTGCCTAGCCCAGCCCGTTAAGTTCAGAACACAAATAACAGCCTCAGCAATATGAATCATTATTTACAAGCATACTGGGTTATATATAATAACCAAACAGACCACATATATCAAAAATAGAAAAATAACATTTGTACAGTAATTGGCCAATGTGGCTGTAGCTAGGGGGAAAGTAATCAATAATAATAGTTCCAAGGTCAAAATAAAGGTTATCATAAGAGGAACACAGAAACGATTAGGTCACTTATTTAACAACTATCCAATAGGAATAGGCGTATTACATTTGTCCATAAATGGACCTCAGATTTATGATTCATAATTCGCCAGGGGATACAACAAGTAGGACTTCCCTTGCAGAGGCTATATATTCGCTGGCCATATGAGAGTATTTCGAGAGGGAGAGTAAACTCTCCCCACTCTCGGCCGTACCAGGGCATTTGGGGGCTTGAAGAAATCTTAAGTGACCTTGAGAGATATTAGCTATTCAGGAAATAGCAAAGCGTAGAAACATGCCATACCAAACCAAAGAATTAAATTGGATACACTTATTTTACATGGTTTACAACTTGTCATGGTTAGAAAGAGGTTCAAAGGTTCTAGAATCGTAATGCATAAGGTTGAGGAACTCATGCATATGGTTCCATAATAGTCGGTCTCTGATGCCATGACAAGGTCGCTCAAACTCTAAGCCTCAACCACATAGCTTCAATATTGTTCGTGTGTACTCCGGTTGTGTAAGTTTGTCATTTTTATTACGCATATATCCCTACAATACTCGGACCACTGGACAGCCGAAGCTTTAGTAACATCTGCGATTATTGCAGCCAATGTTATTGGTGCTTTTGTTATACAGTTCGCAGCAATTATTATAATTTGCCTTAGTTTCAATCTGGATCAAGCGAAAGAAGTTCCTATTCTAGTACACGTCTTCCTCCAACATATATTACATCGGAGGACAACATCAGGACAGTCTGCTCAAGGCCTTCAAGTCATTTGGTTACCGCGATTGCAAATAAAAGAACTTCTTAGTAGTCCCACTTATTGTAGCAGTTTAATTGTCACGTCTCTAAAATTCTATGTGAACCGAATGTACATGAGCATCAGGTACTGAAATTGGCGCCATGACCTTAAAATCCGTCAAACACTTCTGATTGGCTCGTCCATGAATTATAGTCTCGCCCAGATCTTTTCTCCATGAAATCCATCTCACTATTGACATTCCAAGCGAATGTAACTTAGCGGTACTTAATGCTCTAATTCTAACCTATTAAGGAATTGATTGCGTTTGGTTTTGCCGTGATAAGGAGCCAGTTGTTTTGGATTCTGTATGATGAAAATTTAAAAGTGGACGTTTAGTATTTAAACAGTATATGATTTTATGTGATTGTGTAGACCTAGAATAATTAATGATCATTTACACTCTGTTTCAGTTTGTCAACAGATTATGATTAATTTCTAAATAATGGGAGAATTCGAAACAAATGTATCTAATCCGGATAAATTTGAAACCCTTTCTTTAAATGATCCGTCTGATTCAAATGAAATCCGTGAGACCTCTGTTCGCGTAAAAGAAGGATTTTGCGACGATCAAGGAGATTTAGGTCAAAAAGAGTAATATCACATTTTCGTCTTTGTATTAGCATTTCAGGATTGAAATTAAATCGGCTCTAGTGCAGCAAACTAAAGATCTATATGAACAGTATGCTCGGGAACAGTTTCCTAAAGATTTAGAGAAAGTAAATGCACCCTATTTTCAATCTCATTATTATTTTTAGCAAAAGGCATTGATAACTGAAATGCAGGACCAATATTTTGAACACTACCTCTCCGAAGTGTATAGGTTTCAAATTGTTCATCAGCGGCAGCAACTTGAGCAAGTCAGTTGTCAATTAGTTTAAATTTTGTTGACTTGTTTGGGAAATGTAACATTGCGATTACTGACAAAAGTATTAGAGAATGATCGGACAAATGTTGACGCTAGCAATTGATTTTTGAACTGCAAAATATGGAATAAAGCTAATAGTTTTGAGAAGTTTTGAAGCATAACAGCTATTGTCCTGGAGTGCTCTGTTGTAATATATATATATATATATATATATATATTCCATCAGTTTAAATCTACGTGAAAACAAACACTTCTACAGATATCTTACGATAATACTAACAACGCTTGTCTTGTGTTGGTCTTTGGTCTCTTGGTGAATACCATATCTGACGAATTACTTCAAATATAATTCATCGTTTGATGTCAGTTAACCTGGAGGTTTTTTTATTCACCTGACGGTCGTCATCCATAAAACTAAGAATTAATCATACTTGCTACATGACTTTTGCTTTATATTTTTAAGAAGTTTCTGGTGGGCTACATACGTACCGTCTTGTATGTCGATATAAAGGTCAAAAACTGCTTTTTATAACTCAAAATTAACGAGGTTTTGCTTCTCGATTTACTTTGAGTTACTGTCACCATTTGCCTCTTGAAAATGTGAAATCACATGGAAAGGCAAATTTATACATCACATTAGTTTATCGTACCTGGATCCTATTATTTTCATAGAGTTGTAATGGTTCATCAAATTACAAGTTGCTTCTAGCAAAAAACATAAACAGTTCAAGTAGCAAAGACTTGATAACACATACTTAGTTTACGACATTTTTCTGAGTCACAGTCTTTTAAAATCTTGGTCACATATGACTAAAAGCCTCGCTGCTACAACCAACTAATTATTTTAACAGCAATATATAGGATAGTAATACGTCAGAAATTGTAGCGAATTCTACAAGTAGTGCAAGTTTACGTATGCGAATATCGATGGTGTCAAGCGTCAAATGATTTCCGCACTGGATTATGTCAAACTACTGAAGTTAGATTAGACGGAAAGTTAATTAACCCTCCTAATCTAAAATCCTAAAGGTTCACCTCTGAAATACATCTCATTTCACCTACACAGTTTTTCGATATCACTAGAAATTTTTTTATCCCATTTATATATTATGCTTCTAAAGTGGCATACTTATTTACTCAATGCGTTACCAAAAATGGGTTTAAAGGAACCATTAAATCATTGGATATTGTTGAGAAGTGCTGAACATTTTTATCCTGGTATAGTATAAAACAAAGCTAACTACTAGAAGTGGCAATATAGACCATATGGAAACGAAACCAATCGTTTATTAGGACAGGAATGTTTTCATAATTCAATAAACATGATCAAGTGTCTCAAACATTGCGTACAATTTTGTTGCTTACTGTTAAATCTTTGATGAGGGTAAAATTATTGTACAAATGAAAATATATGTGCCAGACTACAATATTTTCACTTTCGATTCAAGTTTTTATTACTGTTATATTTATATTTATAACCGGTGAAAACTGCTAATAGGGTCGCTTTTTTCATTCGCCGTACTCATTATCTAATCTAGTTTGTCTTTTATGATGTTTCGATGTTTATCAGTTAGTCTACTTAAATGTTTTAACATATAGCTGTAATTACCCCATATTATATTTTACTATAATTTCTTTGAGTCATGTGGGTTAATTTCCATAAAATATGCGCAAGATTTCGTCCTCAGTGGTAAACTTGGCTTGATCATGTAGACAGTAAACGAATTGTTATTATTGTTATCTGATAACATCATTCCAACAATGGGATTTTATGAGTGTATAGATTATTTAACTAAATCATAATGCTTAAATTTTTACTTTAATCAGCCATATCTAACTTTTAGTTACGAGCGGTAAAATCGTCTGTGAAAGATCCTCACGATGGGAATGCTGAATCTGATAAAGGTGAGTTTTTTACTGAGAAATTTCCACGCAACCTAGTGGTTTTCTATTAATAATTAGGCTGATGACTGAATATATATATATATATATATATATATATATATATATATATATATATATATATATATATATACCACTAACAGATGCACTGCGTATGTCGTGTTTGGATTAGTGTTTGTTAATACCTTTATGAATTAGAACTTGATTTGTTATCGAATGAATGTTAGATCGTCAAAATCAGTGAACAAAATACTAATCGTTATGTAATAGATAGTAATGTGATGTGGCTGATTGGTGGGTAACGAGACCAAATTATCGACATTAAGCCCTCGACTGGTTTAAAATCGATGGCTATACTTCTAACCAGAAGAGGCATGTTTATGTACGAAATTTACCAACGAAGAACTTAGACTGTTGTGGACAAGTATAGGAGATTAGTTTGTAGGTCAGTTTGTCTCCAACCGATTAAGTCCTTACTGTTGGATCCAATTCTTGGCTTTTATTTGAATTTTAGAATATCTGTGGACGGATCCCTCAAAATGACTCAGTAAATCATTTATTAGTTAATCTTTCTTTGTTAAATTTCTCTATTAAATTTTAGTCTTCCATCATTATTTGAATTGTTTATTTTTGTTCGTGTTTTCAGCAAAACATCTATCTAAAACAATTAGGAATTACAAAACTTTCGTGAAATAAAATGTTTTGAACATGGTTTGGTTTCAAAGATTTATTTGCTAATTCATCATGTTTATTAAATAATGTAACTCATTAACGAAGTATTTATTTGTGAAATTCAGCATTTAAGCACAATTTCGCATAATATTTTATTAAATTGCTTGAATAGTCATATCAAAATAGGTCAAGTGTGGTTCAAATATTTAAACCAGTAATTAAAAGTTGGGTGTTTTTATCACCAACCCTATTTTTAGTAGTTTTAACAATAAATAATCGTTTCTTAATGAAGGTGTATTACTTTTTGATCACTAGTGTTCTGTCCAAGTTGAGTATTGCAGATGACTCATTCAACTGCTTTCACGTCTTTAACCTTCAATTGTCGTACGTTTATGTTATTGCTTTTGATTGATACTTTTCTATGAACATTTATAGAGGGTTCATATACCGTTCTTCAAATAATTGGTACAGATGTTTTAGACTTCAAACTTTTAAAAAGAATCCCCATAATTAACAAATTCCTATTATTGTATTTAAGCTGTTGTTTTTATTGGAAAACATGAAGAGTATGGAAATTATTGGCATTTTAACTGTAGGTACAGTTGATGTTTTGAATATCCACTGAAGTCTACGGAATTATATATGAACAGCCGGCATGGTCTTAATTTCAATTCACTACCGGCTTTTTATTTTAAAATGTCATTCTTTTAAGGATAACTTTATAACGTTCTCTCAAAATACATAACGCTTCGCAATCCAGTTCGATAAAAATATGCTTGTGTGATCGTGTTTCTATGATGATTATTTGTCCACATTTATGTCATTTATCCTTAGTTATTTTTATTATAATTATTTTACATTAAGTGAACAATGAAGTGATTTTTGAGAACATATATAATTTTTCATTAATGTTTAATTACTAAGGGAGTTAACCAGTAACAAAAAATGTAAACAAACATTTTACTCAGCTAATACTTGATTGGTTGTTCAGTTTAACTGTTTTTCCATCTACTTAGTACTATTTTCACCTATTGTCTGAATTTACACTAATTCATCAATTTTTTAGCAATCAACGGTATTATTGAATGAAGTTGATTATTTTTGAACCAATTTCTCCACTTCGTTACAAAGATTCAGTCAATCATCTTGTCGGGTAGTTTTATCAGCATTAATCACGTTATAGCTGACTTTCTAAAGACGGGTTTAGTAGTACATTACCCGTACATATATGAAATAGAGCAATGAAGGTAGAGGCCTTAGTGTCGGTTTTGTATCCTAAATTAGTGAATCTGCAAGGAGACAAATACCAGTGCTTATTAAAAGGATGGAATTTTTGTATGAGAGATTTGTTGTTTCTTGAAGTCGATGTAAATGCACTTAAATTACTTGCGACGTAGGCTACAGATACTTACTTACTTACTTACTTACTTACGCCTTTACTCCCAATGGAGCATAGGCCGCCGACCAGCTTTCTCCAACCCACTCTGTCCTGGGCTTCCTTTTCTAGTTCTATCCAGTTCTTGTTCATTCTTCTCATGTCTGTCTCTATTTCTCGGCGTAATGTGTTCTTTGGTCTTCCTATTCTCCGTTGACCTTCAGGATTTCATGTGAGGGCTTGTCTTGTGACGCAATTAGCTGATTTCCTCAAGGTGTGCCCAATCCACTTGCAGCGCTTCTTCCTGATTTCTTCCTCTGCTGGAATCTGGTTTGTTGTCTCCCACAGTAACTTGTTGCTGATAGTGTCTGGCCATCGGATCCGAAGTATTTTGCGTAGACAGCTGTTGATGAACACTTGTATCTTCCGGATAATGGCTTTCGTATTTCTCCACGTCTCCGCCTCATACAGTAGAACTGTCTTGACATTTGTATTGAAAATTCTAACCGTGGTGTTGGTTGACAATTGTTTTGAGTTCCAGATGTTTTTCAGCTGTAAGTATGCTGCTCTTGCTTTGCCGATCCGTGCCCTTACATCTGCATCTGATCCACTGTGTTCATCAATGATGCTGCCCAGATATGTAAAGGTTTCCACATCCTCCAAAGCTTCTCCGTCAAGTGTAATTTGATTGGTGCATATTGTATTGTATCGAAGAGTCTTGCATTTCTCTTTGTTTATATTGAAACCTACTGCTGCTGAGGCTGCTGCTACACTGGTCGTTTTCTCCTGCATTTGTTGTTGCGTTTGTGATAGAAGAGCCAGATCATCCACGAAGTCTAGATCGTCAAGCTGCATCCTGCCTGTCTACTGTATCCCGTGCATTCCTCCAGATGTTGACGTCTTCATGATCCAGTCGATGACCAGGAGAAAGAGAAAGGGTGAGATTCAGCAACCTTGCCTAACACCGGTCTTTACCTCGAACGAGTCGGTGAGTTGTCCTCCGTGGACGATTTGGCAGTTTAGTCCATCATAGGAGTTCCGTATGATATTGACTATATTCTCAGGCACGCCGTAGTGTCGAAGAAGCCTCCATAGTGTCGTCCTGTCCACGCTATCAAATGCCTTCTCGTAGTCGATGAAGTTGATGTATAGTGATGAATTCCATTCGATTGATTGTTCCCATGACGTCTTCGTATCCAGTGTTATCCATTCCAACCTTAGCATTGAGATCTCCCATCAGAATTGTCAGGTCCTTGGTTGGGCACTTCTCGACGATTGACTGCAGCCTATCGTAGAATTGGTCTTTAACGTCTTCATCGTAGTCATTGGTAGGCGCATAGCATTGGATGACATTCATTGTAATGCCCTCTCTCTTTGTTCTGAAGGAGGCTTTGATGATCCTTGGTCCATGAGATTCCCATCCTATAAGTGCATTTTGTGCTTTTCTGGACAGCATCAATGCAACTCCTTGTGTATGTGGGGCATTTTCTTCTTCATGACCGGAGTATAACAGAAGTTCTCCTGAAGACAGTTGTTGTTGTCCAACCTGCGTCCAATGTGTTTCGCTGATTCCAAGAACCTCCAGGTTGTATTTTCTCATTTCTGCAGCAATTTGGAAAACTCTTCCGGTCTCCCACATTGTTCGGACATTCCATGTACCTATAAAGAGTGTTGCTCTGGTTGTAAGAAGGTGCATCGGCCTCATGACTTCCGAAGGAACTCGGCTTTCATCATGAGACGTCATAATTATTCCTTCCACTCCCAGGGCAGAGTTTGAAAGGTTTGAATGATTTTTTCTGGTTAGCGTTTGTTTAGCGAATTGATTTTCTACGGGATGGGGTCGCTAACCTCATGCCCAACCCTCCTCCTTTACCCGGGCTTGGGACCGGCAGTAACCCCCAAAGGAGCTACAGGCGGGTTGTAGGCTACAGATATCAAGTAGTAATTCAAGTGCTAAACTTAAGCCGAAACTTTAACTGGAATACTGGAATAGCATAAAAAAGTCTTATAGGTAATCAGAAATAGTATCTAGACACTGTTTGATGTAGGGTTAAGTGGACCACCACGGGTTTGTTAATAAGATCTTGTAATTATTCGACTCACCAATTGAGATGGTTCAAAATCGACTATGGAAGCTAAATGTATGTACACCAAGTTCTTTCCTGATAAATTTTTGTTTTTAAGACCAAATTCATTTTGTTTAAACTCTTTTCAACTGTTTTTTGTCCTAACTGTTAAGTTTCTAAAAATATATAGTCAGTGAGTGTTATAATTTAAGTAATTATATCTTATACCAAATTGTATGCTGATACAATTAACTATCCTGTAGGTCCTGTATTGATGTTTTCTTACTGTGACCTAGTGCAGTTAGAGGTTCTAAAAAAGGATGAGGATTATATTCTATCCTCCACTGACTCTAATTGAAGTTCGAAAAGCCATAGCTAATCTGAAACAAGGAAGAGCAACTGGTCCAGATGGATTAAATCCAGAGATCTTTAGTAATGGTGGTCCAGTTGTAGGTTATTTATTTATTTGAACACACAAATATTGCTACAGGGGGGCACCAGATATATATGCGCCACACAAAACAATAAGAATGAGAAGAGAAAAAGAAGGTAAAGTGCGTATAAGAAAAAAAGAAGAACAATAATAACCACAGATTAGTGTATGTTAGTGTAACAATAAGAATAATAATGGGGGAGACGGAAAGGTAAGACCAGAAGAATTCTCTCAGTTAAGGAAGTTACAACCACTTTTAATGAAGGAAGTAAAAGGTTACAGCAGGATCGCCACTGGCTTCTATTCTGAGCCATATCTGATACCGTCTCTAGCCACTGTGTTGCACCATCTCTCAGACCCCAACCAGAGAGTCGATAATTACCAACAAAAACCAGCCCTTTACAGCTTTCTTTCATACCACGACACCATGTCATACACTGACCACCTCTCCGCTTTTTCCAACCAGTCCGAGCGTCAGCAAATAATGCACGACGTGGAATTCTCTGGGACGACATTCGTAGAACATGTCCGAGCCACCGGAGTCTATGTTTCAAGATGGTGACACCAATTGGATTATCGTCTCTGTGCCCGAACACACGATGCCGAACCTCTGCATTACTAACATGGTGTTGCCACTGGATGTTAGCAATCCTTCGGAGACAACGATGATCGAACGCAGAGAGTCGTCTAACATCCTCAACTCGGAGAGGCCAGGTTTCACAAGCATAGAGCAAAGCTGCTCTCACCGACGCGTTGTAGATCCAAGCTTTTACAGTCAGACTAACATCACGAAGGTGCGAAAGATGGCCCAGATTGGCATAAGCCACTTTTTAATAATTCATGAATTATCGTCCCGCAACATTCAGTCTATGGAAATAATTGTTGATCCAGACTCTAAACCTTTTTGTTGTACTGCCTTCTCATTCTACGATAATGGTTCGCGTTAACGGTTTGGATAGGTGTATGGTAGTTAAAAGATTGTTTTACAAAAGGACAAATTAATATCGGTTAATACTAGAGTAAATAAATTAATCAGGGTGAATAAACGCCAGTTTTTGTAAAAATATCCTTTTCTTTACATATCCGAAGATTTTCCAGAGCCATTGCCTCTCATCCCTGCGACTGTTTGGACTCGTAAAAATATTGCAGAATTCAAACGAGAAATTCTCGATGTACAGAAGGAATGTTGTATAAAGATAAGCTCTTTAGCAACCGCAACAGTAAGTTTCACAGTATATTTTCTTATTGATTTCATTACTTAGCTCTTCATTCTATGATGATTTGAGTTCGATACTTTGTGATACATAAATGTTATCCTTAATAATTTGTTAGAGAGATAAACTTATTCACTTATAAACTTATTCAATTTATAAATTCTAAGGATCAAATAATGCGCTAGTCTTTTAGTCGAATTTTTCGTATAATTATTACAAACTTCACTCGATTTTTAAAACAGAACCACTTCACTCTATGATCTGAATGAATATCTTAAAACACCAAGCCATTTATTCATCCTTTTTACCAACAATTATTGTTGTGTAAGTAGAAAAAAGGAGACTGTTTAACTTGGACTTTTAAATTCAGATCTGAGGTTAGTGAAGAAAAGATTATCTTAGTTTAAGCTCCATATATTTACCATACCGGACACCCGTTTGTTTGTATATGTTGTCATGAATGACTCGATGCTTCTGAAATTCTGAAAAAGTAACAATATTAACAGTGATATGAATAATGAATATTGACGATTTGATTCCTCCAAATTCTAGGATCTCATGTGAATATAGAGAACGGTCTTAGGTATTCCATCAGTAATTTTAGGACATGCTGTTAGAATGGGATTTACGAATAAGAAATCGTTCTCGATTAATTTTTTTTCGCTAATGATTTTTGGTATATGGGTTTTCTTTAATTTCTCTCATAATATGAGCCAAGAGTATTCAGCTCGGATACAGGTTGATTTTACATGACTATCCTTTCAGAGCGTATTTTCATTAACTTTCTTCTACTCTATAAATCGTGTATCTGCCCCCCACTTTCTCATTACTTGATGTTTGGAGTAAACCACGCGAAATATTTGGGTTATCAGTTCATTTTATGTAAAAAACAAATACTATCTAGCGAATAAAATTTCTTTCTAGACGTTGTAATTCATTGAAGTTGTACAATAGTATTTATTGGTATTTAACATATACATATAAATAGTAGTCTATTAAAAAAATGGAGAGATTGTATCAACGGAAGGTTACGAAATGGTGTGAAGATTGACAAAAAATAACTACAGATGAAGTATACATTATCAGCATGAGAGATAAGTATCCACTTGGTGATCTTGAGTAAAATGACGAAGAAAATAGTGAAGTAATAAAAAATTGCGGGTGCTAATAATAATGGATTAACAGGTATGAACAATTAAAAGACATCAATGACAACTGATTGTTGAATGTGCAAAAATAAGAATGGATTAAAGATGTGGTAGAATAAAAGATTGAACATATTATTGTTGCACACAAAGTTCGGGCTTAAATCGATAAATTGTTTACTTTTTTTCTCGTTCACAAGCTTTTAATTCTTATACTTGTTGACGTTGGACGTCGGATAATTTAAATGGTTTACAAGTAAAGTTCTAACGGGATTGAGTGATCTCCGTTGGTATAGTGTTAGAAGTTGTGCTGTTTATTGGCATGCATTCTTTCGATAGTCAACCAGGGTAATTCTCAAAAATTCTCTTAGAAAGCTTTTGCTTATAGTTGACAAATAACTATCTTTGTATTAATAGTTGGTTTTTAAGTGAAAGATTCATGGAATCAAAACTGCTTTGAGTGATGCTCATAGCTACTTTTCATTTTGTAGAAATACATTGTCTTTTAATTTCTATGGCTGTTAAGGTTAAATTTGATTGTTTAGAAAATATATGTTACCCTTAACGAACTTCTATTATATTACATTACAAGGAAACAAAATTATGTTCAAGATTGATATTCTGCACTTGAAATTTCTTAACTAATCCTAATATTTATATGGTGGTTTTAATTGTAACAGAATGATATCTGTCTTCAGTAAAAGTTAACGTCAAATTTCAATACGAATTGAATAGTGATTGTATCAAATAATTTGTAGCGTCATTTATTGATACTTTGTTTGATTCGATCATGTTCACTTTTTCACAAAGGCACCCGAATGTTGATAATAATAATAGTAATAATATCATTGTGTGTATATGATATGTAATAAGAGGGATATTATCAAGGTAATTACGATAAAAAAAGGTTCATGTGAATTGGGAAAGATGGATGTGAAGATTAAGATAGATGTAATAAAAAAGTGGGGAGTAAGAGGTTTATACTATTCAGTTTAGGTATACGGTGATCCAGTCGTAGGTCAAGGTAAAGGTAGAGGCTGGATATGCTTTTCCTGGACACTTAAGCTCGGTTTTCTGGAGTTGATCCAGATGACTTCGGCTATGTAGAGTAGCTGTAATCTAGCTCCCTGAGATAGATTTTTTTGGAACTTGATATAAAACAGAGAAAACTTCCTCTGTTTTGATATGATGTTCACTATCCACCAAGTGAGAAATAATAGTAATGTTGATCGATTTAGTAACTATTTTTCCCACCCATGCTGGTACATGTTCACGATAATATTATTATTATTATTACAACGGCTATTATCATTATTACCTCAACTAACAAGATGAAATTTCCCTGCTATGCATTTTATTCACATGACTTTTTTCTCACTTTTATTTTTGCTATATTACTATTATACTGATTGGGATTTGACACTTTATTCCAAATCATTCTGACCTTTATTAAATGACCTTTCTAATTTACAAATAACACATTTTTGAAGTATATATGTCGTAACAGATACAAACGTTCACCATTTTTAACATATAACATTGTCAAATTCATTAATCAGAGGGGGTTTTGTGGAGAATTTAGTATTTTCACAGTTGAAATCATGAGTCAATTGAAGCTAGACCACCATCGAAAACCTGGAAGCACTGGACGGCCGTTTCGTCCTATTATGGGACTCCTCAGCAGTGCGCATCCACGAACCCGCTCTCGCGAGCGACATTCGAACCCAGGGCCTAACAGTCTCGAGCCGATGCGCACTGCTGAGGAGTCCCATAATAGGACGAAACGGCCGTCCAGTGCTTCCAGGTTTTCGATGGTGGTCTAGCTTCAATTGACTCATGATTTCAACTGTGAAAAATTCATTAATGTTTTACATTGGCCTTTGTAAAATATCACGATAATTATGGAATTATAACTGTTAAACCTGATGATGAAGTTATTGAAAACAATTGTTCGCTCAAATATTCCTTATTTTTAAACCAATATTTCTTCTGTATTACCAGTCCTTACTAACTGTAACTATCTAGGTCTTTGTATATGTTATAGTTCACATTATAAGTGGTTCGATAATGCTGTATTATACGGAGTTATTTCGTCCTTCCTAGGTACGTGTTCCAACTCATCCAAATGGGAGAGCAATATGTTGGGAATTTGCTACAGATAATTATGATTTGGGTTTCGGATTGTATTTTGAATGGGATTTGGAACCACCTGAAAATATTTCTGTTAATATTTCGGAGTCAAGTGATGAAGAAGGTGGTGAAGATGAGGATGAAGAAGGACTTAATAGTGGAAATTCTGTGGAGCAAACGTCGCCTAAAAACGAAAATAAAGGTAGGAAATTATCTTTCATTGTGAGGATATCAGCATCCATATTTAAATTATATTTCTATGCATAATGTTGAATTTCGTAATTGGATTATCCAACACGTTTCTGCTGATTTTTTCACTGTTAATTAATCGGTATTCATTAAACGAATGAGTTTTTTTAAATTCTTGTTCAGGTAACTACCCATATTTATTGGCATGTAGCAAATGTAATATCGTTTTATTGTGCAAATGACAAATAACACTTGAGGTTGTTAAAAGATATATCGTATACTTGTTGTAACTTATGAACTGTTTCATTTGCTTCTTATCGACTATGATTCCTTATGTACTAATAAAATGTAAGCTTCTCTACAAATACAATCGATTTGTAATTCAAGTACCATAATTCAAGATTGAAATTATAGACAATAAGTGAAGATAAAAAGGTATGACTCGAAACTAATTGATTGACTTTGAGCGTAGGGATCATAATGATCTCATTTAGCAGTACATCCACAGAGACTGGGTGATAAATTTTCTCGATTTAATACTAACTAGGACAAAAATAACCTTGATTGTCTCAGTATAATATGTTTGTTAAATTTATTTTCGTCGACGTTTTTAGTAAATTTGCGTTTTATTCTGAATGTACTGCGATACAATTGAATGTTTGTCATTACGTGTTATCTTTGTAAGTATTAAACTGTGGTAAGGCTTGAAAATAACTTGACCATTTACACCTATTTGACTGAATTGTGAAAAATTCCTTCATGAACTTACGTGAACTTCGTGGGAAAGGGATGTTAACCCTCATTTTAGTTAAGGAACGTTTGTTAACTGTGTTACTAATGTGCACCTTTAAAACTTGAACAAACTAATCGGTGATAGCTTCCGTGCTAGTTTTCATTGGTTGACCGATATCCTTCATAGATCTCAGGTAATCAAATAAATCAAATAGCTTTGATAGGGGGCATTGAAGTTTGACTCATTGGATGACGCATTTTGCCTCATTACCACCCTTACTCTCGCTGTACAAATTTAATGTGCCTCGTGACTTCTGAAAGCTCTTCCCGTTCTACCTGGCATGTTATCAGGACATTACATCAAGAAAAATCTAAAGAGTTATTAGCATTCCTGAAACTACACTTAAAAAGATTGATTTTAATTTTTTGTCTTGAATTAAGCAAGATATTGCAAATTTTGTACTATAGTTGTATTTTTTATTTACTAATATGCAAACCTGCTTATTACATGCTATTAAAACAAAAAAACGAAAAAAATCCAAAATAATGTTGAACTTTGGACAGGATGAGATTGTGAAACACTTTTCTTTCCAGACAACAAATGGTCATGTCCATTAGATACACACAAATGAGATTATTTAATGGTGGAATTGCGAACAGATTGAAGTTCAATATATGAACCATTTGATGTTGCCCGATCAGCGGCCTAAAGATTAAAAGCCCGCCAAAAGACCTGGAGTTCTGGATGGGCGTTACTGCGGAGTCCCATATTAGGACGAAACAGGTGTCCAATACTTCCTGATTCTTGAATATCAGTCTTTGATGTTGACTATGAAATACTGGGGCTGCTAACCTTCGATAAAGTACTGGTAACGAACGTACTGTGAATATGTTGTACGGATAACACAATTGTACAATACTCATTCAGTTTTCTGTACTATATAGGTTCTTATTATCATTCGTATTATGAATCATCTCAACATAACTTTGAAATACTTCTTGAGTTTCCGTTAATGCTTTGAACTTTTTGATGCTACTGGTTTGTAGCAATGACCGGGCCGTCAAGTTAAGTTGTAAAATTATGTAAATTCTCGACATTATTCAACTCCACCTGCAGCTCCTGTAGGACTGTTGCCGGTCCTAAACCCGGGTAAAGGGGGAGAGTTGGGCATGGGGTCAGCAACTGCATCCCTTACAAAACAACCTTACTAAAAATGGCTAACCAGAATAAACAAACCAAACCATTTAAACTCTGCCCTGGCAGTTGAACGAAGAATTATGAAGCCTCATGGTGAAAGCTAATATTCTTCGGAAGTCACGAGGCCCACACCCCTTCTAACAAGCAGAGCAACAATTTTTGTAGGTACATGGAATGTCCGGACTATGTGGAAGACCGGGCGTACCAATCAAGTAGTTGTGGAAATAAGAAGATACAACTTGGCGGTTCTTGGAATTAGCGAAACCCATTGGACCCAAGCTGGACAGGAAAGGTTAGGTGCGGGAGAGATGCTACTGTACTCTGGTCATGAGCACACACTCAGGGCGTTGCTCTGACGCTGTCCAAAGAGGCATGTAATGCGCTTATAAGATGGGAATCTCATGAATTCAGGATCATCAAAGCATCCTTAAAAATAAGGAATGAGGGGATTACAATGAATGTTATCACATGTTATGCACGATAAAGATCAGTCCTACGAGAGGCTGCAATCGATTACTAAGAAAACCACCTGCTTCAGTTTGGGCACTTGGGCAGTTTCACAGCTCTCACACAAATCAAATGAAATTTGTGCTGCGCATATATATCTGATGCCCCTTTGTACCAATATTTATGTGTTTAAATAAATAAATAAATAATGTTGCTTGGGTGTTCAGACCGAAATAGATGGTATTCATTGAGAACCACACACAGATTCTTCGACCTAAAGGTCTGATCTATAATGCAGTGGAACAACGTTAGGAGATGCACTTCCATGGAAGTCGGTGATCAACAGTTGGTTCATACGCCATTTGTTCCTTCAGGATTATGGAGCCCATTTGCATTCAGGGATTTCCAACTCCCCTATGTGGACCCTCCGTGTCCACCAACCCGATTAAAGCACCGAGCATTCGCTTTTCCTCCTCCCAATTTCGTAAGCAACACCCCTGCCTTGAGAAGGCAGTGAGTAGGACTTCCGCAGAAGTGACTATTTACGCGTGGCCATGTGAGAGCATTTGAAGAGGGAGATCGGACTTTCCCCACGCATGGCCGTACCAGGGCATTTTGGGGCTAATTAAGCATCCTAAACACTATTGGTTGCTTTACAGAAAGCTTTAATTTTCTGCATTCACGATTCGTTGTAATTGCTCGGTCGTACCTTGGAGGTTACGTATCAATTAAATAACTCTAATTAGAATTGTTATTCATAGATGGATAGTTTTGTCTTAGTATGCTCTTCTCGATAGATGCATAGCCAGAAAATATTTTGCACTGAATGGATGTACAGAGTTGAAATCGGTGTAGTACCACTATTTGCCCGGAAAATAGAGTGTAATTCCTAATTCCTGTAATTGGTGTCGTCTACAAATGTCAGTGAGCCTGATGATGATACTACTTTGGGACCTGACTTGATACATCGATAGAGTCCAGAATAAGTTCGCAAGGTATGTGTTGTACGTAAAAGAGAAAAAAGACATTCTTACTCATTTTTCACAGCCTGCAATGATTTACAGATTATTCCTCTTAAAGTAACGGAATACGTTTTGAATGTTTGTTTTTATTTGTATTCAGAATCTCATGATTTGGAATTAGGCAAAAAGTCATTACAACAGCGTTTACCTACTGATGAACTTATACCAATCTATAGAAGGGATTGTCATACAGAAGTTTATTGTGGTACCCATCAGTATCCAGGTGTTGGTGTGTATGTGTTCAAATTCGACAATTCATTTTCTCTGTGGCGTTCTAAGTGGCTGTATTACCGTATCTTCTATACTCATTGAGTAACTTCAATCAACCACCGTTCGAAGCATATTGAAATTCTGTTGTTCACATTCCCTACGTCACTTCCAACTCAAATTTTTCTGTGAATCAATTTGGGTTGTCTTCCCATTGTTTTATTTTGCAAATTGCTTCTGATCTAATATATATATATATATATATATGGCATTTATCGCATTTCATAATCATGCATTAAAATTCTGCATAATTGATTACCGGCTACCTAAAGTATCCTTCATATTTTGGCTTTTTCTGTTTTACAACATATAAGTATTTTATGTTGGGATGAATTAAATTGCTTTTTTTTTGAACATTCATTTCACTTATGGTATTTTCTAATAATGAATTTTTTCTGGTCAATACTTCATGAAAAGTAAATGTCTGTATTTGAAATATTTTGGTGAGTCCATGTTTGACAGAGTGATATGCAACTGTACGCAAAGAGTTTGTTGTAATCTTAAAAAATCGCTATATTATTATTATTATTATCACTTTCACCTTATAATTTAGCATTAAAAAATTGGACAAAGTAACTTATATCAAATTAACCGGCACCAGAATTTATGTTGATTATTGCATTAATGTTTTATGACCTCGGTGAAATTCGACTCGCAAATTAACGTTTTCTTATGGGGAAATCATATTAGTGATAAACGATCAGATTAAAAGTTCAATTTGCGACCACATAATTTATGTTCTAACGGGTAGTCATATAATTACAAAACAAAAGCAATGGACTTAAGCATATATGTTTAATTAGTCATTTTTCTACTGGTACGATTAATGCATCTAACAAAGAAATAGACACCCATCCATATTTCATTGGGGTCACTGATTATGTGTGGGAATTGTTGGTTTCAATTATTTTGTGCCGTGTAAATGTATATTCTTATATTATACTCAACAATTTACCCACTATATTGTTTATATTTGTCACTAATCTACATTGAAAAGTGATTAGCCTCCTTATAGTGACATAAATGGATTCTTAGTAGTATTTACAGTCGTTGGTTATTATATAGATGTCAGAAAATTGGCTGTGAAAATAAAGGAGAACAGTTCTACACAAAGCTATTAGTAGGGAAACAAACAAAGTGGATTAGTATTATGTAGTTCAAATTTAGGATATTATTTTAGCGAAAGTTAGTGTTCTTAAAGGTCAAATTGGAAATAGTGGGGAAGTAAACTGGTAGTTCATTTGACTTACCTATTTCGATTCTGGGAGTCAAGTAGTATCACTTTTGCCTGTAAACAGCAAGTGTGACTTAAAGCCACTAAAACAACAGTGATAGTAGTCGTATGAAAGCTTTACTCCATGTTGCAACGAAGAGGAGGTTAATGACGGGTTATTAATTGGATCGAGACAGTAACTACTGATTAATAACATATTTAGTAGTAAATTTTAGTTCGCAACGGCGTCATACAACATAATTAGTAACCTATTTATTTAGTTGAACACATAAATATTGGCACAAAAGGCATCGAATACAAATGCGCCACATAAGTCACTTGATTTATGTGTGGGCTGTGTTGCCGCTTGGGTGCTCAGACCGAAATAGATGGTATTCATTGAGAACCACACACAAATTCTTCGACCTAAAGGTCTGATCTATAATGCAGTGGAACAACGTTAGGAGATGCACTTCCATGGAAGTCGGTGATCAACAGTTGGTTCATACGCCATTTGTTCCTTCAGGATTATGGAGCCCATTTGCATTCAGGGATTTCCAACTCCCCTATGTGGACCCTCCGTGTCCACCAACCCGATTAAAGCACCGAGCATTCGCTTTTCCTCCTCCCAATTTCGTAAGCAACACCCCTGCCTTGAGAAGGCAGTGAGTAGGACTTCCGCAGAAGTGACTATTTACGCGTGGCCATGTGAGAGCATTTGAAGAGGGAGATCGGACTTTCCCCACGCATGGCCGTACCAGGGCATTTGGGGGAACCTAACGTGAAAAAAGTTAGGAATTTAATGCCCATCATGCAAGTAAGGTGTTTGTATAAGTAGTATATTTTATGTCGTAGGAATACGGATGAGCCTTTGGATCAAACGGTTATTGTGCTCAGTAATCTGCTGGTAGTACGATAACTTTACGTTCGGAAACAAAAACAAAGAATCATCTTGCGCTGAACACTTTTCCAGTCAAGGTTCGACTTTATTAATGACTAAGAAACTCAAAAATAATGTGATGTTTAGCCACTAACGATGAAGAAAAATGAGGTTAATACCAATTTCTAGTTGACACGATTACATCTCGGCGTTTTTTTAAATGATATAAGTAGTACTTTTACACAAACATAGATAGGTGCTACATCCAAATTTCCGGTCTGAATTCGAAAAACTAGTTTGAAAGCGTACTAAGGGACGAAGTTTTGCTAACATGGCTAGAGTTCGGTTAAACCTTTGGAAAGGACTTCTTTTTATTTTCAATATTTCTACATAATCGAAAATTGAAGTAAACGCTTCCTAATTTTGTATTGTTATTATAAATGGTTTATAGATGTGAATACTTATATTCTTGTTATATCTTGTGGCCTATGTGCCCTGTCGATGTATAACGTGCTAATACCGTCAATTAGGGGGCAGTGAATTATCGATCGGACCGATGACACACGAAACCCGTACGAGCAGTCCAGAGTCCTTATTTTGCTTAGCCCAGAACACCAATAATAGCCTCTGCAATATGAATCATTTATTTCAAACATACTGGGTTTATATACCAACCAGACAGACCACATCGTAACATAAATAGGAAACAAAATTTAGCCGAATATGGGAGACAGTAATCAAGAGATAAGTCAAGAATGGTAAATCGTATGGTAGTAGTTCATAGGTCGAAATAAAGCTTATAATAAGAGGGACATGAATACGAATAGATTAGTTATTTAACAACTATACAATAAAAATATATGTATCATATTGGTCCATAAATAGTTTTCAAAAGTTACCATTCATAGTTCTCTTCGGGAGTTAGAAGAAACGTAGCACCTGAGATAAATATACGTTTCTTCACTTTGTTACAATGCGTCGGTTTAGTTACAGGTAATCACAAAGATAGTAAGTTAAGGATTTTGAACAAGGCTTATTATCATTAATAACTAGAAATGGAACGGAAGAGACATGAGATTGAAGAGTGATAATTGGGAAATAATATTAAAACTCAAGATTCAAAAGACAAAGAACCCAGGAGCCTATGCCATTGCAAACAACTGAGAAATATATCGCCAACTAATAAGTTTGTACACAAAGACATGAATTAGTGTTTAAATGCATACGAAGTCGAAATTTGGAGCGGTTTATGAGTCCGCTGTTTGTTTATTGACAATGATCGAGTCGAATTATTTTCGTTTGCAGCTTAGACGATTGTTTACTTATGTAGAGCCACGAGGTCAGGTTTAAACCATTACGTCCTAATAATCTTTGTTTTTAGACATCTTCATAGAATATCACTTAGCTAACCACAGCTTTCAAAACGTCCTGGGAATATACAGTTAAAACTATTGATATTCCAAAACATTTCAGATTTATTACAGATATAAAGTCGGCCACATTGCTTCACCTTCAGGAATTGTACACGTAACTCATTTACCCTACACAGGTCAACGTATCAAACTAAATATGCGGCAAATTTAGAATCCATGACGCATTGGTTAGGAGTCAGGTGTTTTAACCAAAGCTCGATAGCCATAACCCAGAAAACGTTTAGGAAAGCCTCTCAAACATGTAACTGGATGAAACCTAAAAAAGCAAATTTTTGTTTGAAGCTCAGTAATTGTAACTTAATCAGTGTGTCAATCTAGGTTCACCAGTTTGTATTTTGGGCATGTTTTATGAATGCGACCCTAGATGCTTTTAGGTTGCACATTATTTGCTAGCCCTGGACTAAATGGAAAAAGTAGAGATGTGATAATTTCATGACAGCTATAGATGACTGGGTTCTGTCTGGTCATCAAAACCCAGTGATTCAGAATTCTACAGGACTTAGCGAATTAATACGTCTTCAGACATGGCTTAAGATAAAAGCCAATGTCGATATTTTGTAGTTTTTAAACCTACCAATTGTTTTTTCTTGCACTCATTTATTGATCATACGACGATTTGCTTTTCTACTTCACAAAATTTACATTCCGTTTACAGTATTCTTATGCTGCTGTACTGTGCCAAAAATTTTTAAAATTAAAAATCAAGGAAAAATCTCAATTATTGAATATGAAACTGACACCCATGAAGGAAAAACACTGCAACCACTTACAGAAAGTGTATTGTGAGCAGATCACAAAGAAAAATAATTAAACTGTGAACTAACTTATTTAACGAAAATAAGTCTGTGAATCTAGCTTTCTCCATATGTACCCGTTTTACGTACATTTAACCTTCATAACAAACAAGTTACCAACAAACCTAGCATAAGTGAAGTTGTGAATCAACAATTCAAAGTATATCAGAATTTTTGGAATAATTAATTGTCTGTACACAATATATCAGGAAAAATGAATTATTCGTGTTGATCTTCATCCTCTCCAGGGCACTCTTCTAAAAGTTCAGATTGACTTGGGTACTGTAGGCTACACCAAAAGCAATAATTATGTCGACTGCGTAAATAATCCAAGAGTTGTATGAAATTCTTTTGGATCTATAAAATAAAAAATAATGGTTAATTTTAAATGATACTGAATGTTCTAACTTGTGACTAATATTTGCTCTGCATTGTTATTGAAGGAAATTTTTTTCTTACAGCAATAAACTAGAGATTTCGCATAAGAAAAATATACTTCATTTATCCTCTGACTCAGTATTTAGTGAATGAGCGATACAATACAAATATACAGTATGGTTATAATGGGTAAATAAAATAGGGAAAAAAACTATATATACTTACAGAGGTGTAGTCACAATCCGCATGCTTTGCGTCCAGTTTAGCTAATTCATTATCTGGGAAGTCTTCGTTCACATCCTCTTCCTGAGGCAGTACAGTACGTACAGGAAGTCTGTCTTTAACAGACTTAAAACCATTCGAACTGATTGATCCACATTTACCATTATCAATGACTTCAGTTGGAACAAGATCAACAGGAGGCCAGAATGATTCGTGAACTGGAGTTTCGATAAGTTCCTTCAAATCCAAATCTCGACATATCCGACGGGCAACATCCAGTTGTCGGTTCAAACGGTTCTGTCGAAATCTCACGGCCATAGTGCTTCGGAATTCATCTTTGTAAGCCATTTGTATTTGTTGTTCGAGGCTTTTTCTAAATATCATCCGTTCATTTTTTTCAGACGTGAAACCTAGGCCTTCACGACCCTGAGGGATTTCAATAGAAACAGGATCAGCTATCCCAGTTGCTAAAATTTACAAACAAAAAAGTATAGGAACAGAGAGTGAGGAAAATAGTTCCACTTGCAGAAGTAAAGCAACACTTATTTTCCCATTAGTTTGGTTCCTACATTGTTAAACACAGTAACAAAGTTTTTAACCACTGATCTTTAATGGTAAAAAACAAAATATGTGGGCGAAATAAGGCTGGATGAATTTGTAAAATTTAGTAAACTAGTTTTATTTGCACGTAGCATTGTGCACCCTTCAAACTTAAAGATACGGACTGGTGCTATCATGTTCCTATATTTCCACCTCTTTGTTTAAAATAACCGTTCAATTCACACTGATAAATACAGAAAAAACATTAATAAAATTCGATATTTATTAATTCCCTACACCTATGGCGAAGGCGAGATATCCGTCTATCAATTAAAGGACAAGTATACTGCGCAGAAGTTCGCTCTCTTCTACTTTACGGCTGTGAAACATGGCCATTAAGAGTAGAAGATACTAGTAAGTTACTAGTATTTGACCACAGATGTCTTATAAATATTGCTCGTATCTGCTGGGATAACCGAGTAAGTAATAGTGAGGTTAGACGCAGGGTATTAGGGAATGATTGTAAATCAGTTGATGAGGTTGTGAGTCTATATCAACTGAGATGATTGAGCCACGTGTTACGTATACTTGAATACGGATTACCACGACGCACAATGCTGACTAGTATTGGAGATGGTTGGAAGAAAATGAGGGACGGCCAAACCAAAACGTGGCATCAGAGCATGAAGTCACTAACTTCTAGTCTGAACCATGTTGGTAGATTCAGACTACTTGGTCGGGGTCCGCGTGAATATCATAACTAATGGTTGGAGACTGGGTGATATGGCTCAGAATCGA